ATATTTTCAGCTGGCCCCAAATGGCATCCATGAATAGTTGGTGGTGCCATACATAACTTCTATTTGTGTGGAACACACATAGAAATATGGGTTGCTATTTTATGCAGTCTAAGAGAACCCATGGGGACAAATACGCTAAAGCAGTGATTCCCACTCTTTGATCCTCTTCCAGGTTTTTTGTCCTTCAGCTCCCACGGTTCCTAATGGCTGTTAAGCTGGCTGGGATTTCTGGGAGTTGAAGTCCTAAACACCTGGAGGACCAAAGGCTGGTAACCACTGCTCTAAAGGCACCAGATCCCATCTGATCTAAGGTCAGCCCTGGTTAGTACTTGGATGTGAAACTGACAATGAATACCAGGTGCTGTAGACTATATTTCAGAAGAAAGAACTGAGAAAAATCAGCTCTGAGTATTTCTTACATAAGACAACTCTATGAAATTCATAAAATTGCCACAGGTCAACAGGCAACTTGAAGGAACATGCACAACAACTGAATCCATACTTATTGACAGAAATGTGAAGTTTGAAATGGTAAGTAACTACCAACAGTCAAGGTAAAGTTTGCTAATGTCAATTCATTATCAACAAATTTCAAAAGGCAGCTTCACAGATGCATCCACAGTGTGGAAGCAAAGGACATGGATGCTGAAGTACCACGCTCATTCAAAGAGAAAGAGCACAGTTATGCTTCCTTGTCAGCTAGTAGAGAAAGTAACAATAAAAGAAAATGCTTTCATTCTTCAACTTGAATCTTCAGCATTAGAAATTATAAGCTGGGTTCAACAGAGTTGCCCAAACATTTCAAGTAGGGAAGGAGGAGGAGGCATGAAAGAGAGAAGCTTTGTAGTTCTGATATAGAGGACCTTACTGACAGGAGCCATCACCATTAAGAAACAAAAGGAGGTATTGTTAATCCAGGGACAGGTGGGCAATTTAATGGATGCCACTGAAGCTACTAAATCAGAAAGGGAAGACAGATTTAGTATACAAGCCTGCAGAGACATTCTCTAACTTGCTGAGCTTGAAACTACAACTCACAGTATTCTGCTCCCAGGATACCATGACCATGAGCTGCTAGAGGATTGTAGAAACCCTAATTTTTTGCTCTTATTCTGCATGACACACACACATCTCCAGTCTCTATGTTAGCAGCACTCCCATATCTATACTGTAGCAGATGATATTATCTGAATAACTAGCTTGCTATATTTAGCAATAGGGTGTTTATTAATGACATCCTTTGCCTTTCTAATCTAGTACTATCTATATTGACTCACAGCAGTTACCAGCTGCTACCTGAATTTGTAAATTGTAGGTAGAACACAATGTTATACAACATACTTGAAGGGAATTGTGCTTGAAGAGTTTCTAAGAGGAAAGAATGATAATGAAATCTATTTAACTTTCTAGCATAGATGCAGCCATCCAAAAACCTGGGTGAAATGCTATTTGAAATATATATGTACTACATGGTTATACCAGTTTGATAGTTACGGTACCAGCCATGAATCAACCCCATTGAATTCTGGGATCTATAATTGGCTGATACAAATGAGAATATGTCTTTGAAACACTTCCCTGAACTATAGTAATGAAGCACTATACTATATAGCTGTGCCAAGCTTTAGCACAGCTGGTTAACCAAAAGCAGCAATAGATCACATCAATTGAAAAGTTGGCAGTTCGAAGCTCAGGTCGGGGTAAACATCTGGCTTTCAGCCTAGCTCACTGTCCACTTAAGTAGTTCAAAAACAGCTGTGAGTAGAGAAGTTAGGCCTTAAGTGGGGAGGTATTTTATGGCACCATAAAAAAGAAATACTAGAAAATGCGGAGGCTGGAGTGACAGCATCCTCCTGTGGCCAAAATGAGCACAACCTCCATGGCGCCTAAGTTGGGAAAAATGCCGACATATGCCTCTATCTGTTGTCTCTCCTGTCTGTTTAATGGCATGGATTGTTTGCTGTGTATGTGTTCTGTCCTGAGTGCCCTTTCGGGTGAGAAGGGTGGAATATAAATGCTGTAAATAAATAAATATACACTAGTACTAAAGCTGCATTATTACACCACTAAAGCTCTTTAGCAGAGAAATTTAAGTAGCTTGCCAAACAACAAATCTCACGATTCTATGGAATTGATAGTTAAAATACATTGCATGTCTGCAAGTGGAACCACTGTTGGCCTCATTTTATTGGATATGATATTTTCAAAAAGATTAAAGAACCCCCAAATTTGCACATGTGATAGATCTCTTCTGAAGCCCATCCTCGCGGATTTGTGGAGAACTAAGTTTAAGAAAGAAAATAATAATAATAATAATAATAATAATAATAATAATTTTATTTTCTACCCACCCCTCCTCATGACGGGTCACAGCACAGTCAAAACACACAAACATTAAAATATAGTTCTATAAAAGATGCATATTAAAATGGATTTCTATAAAATACATATTAAATACACAGGACAGAGATTAAAACACAGGACATGAGTTTAAAATTCATGCTTAAAACTGGCTGGGTTAAGTAAATCAGCCTACAATCTCCCTTTCCTCTTGATACCTTGAACCACTTTTAAATACACAGCTGAAGCAAATGCTCTGTTGTGTCTAGAGAAAAGGAAGCTGTGCTGTAGTTGCCAGATCACCTTCAGGTATTCTCTTTCAACACGTCTGATGGTGAAGTGGGCGCAAACCTGGAAGGTGATGAAATGGGCATGTGTAGCCCAACATGTACACAGAGGAGTTTAGGCTATAATATATCATCATGTCAGCTGTCTCTGATTTTATCCCATCATCCAGAATACATAGCTTAAAGCAATCCAGCACACGTAATGCTGTCAGTCAACTGGGTGAGTGGTTAGTCCAGGAAGATTTGGATGTAGGATTAGCTGCATCCCATGCTAAAGTGAGCCAGCCCTAATGTACACCCTCAAGAGATACTTCATACTGTATTCAAATAAAATCTTGCAAAAATAGAAATTAATTACTCATAAATGTGCTGCCAAGTTCCCCCCCTCTTTTTTCCTCCTCCTCTTCCTTTTTTTTTTTTTTACTGCAAGAGAATATCACGGTTGAGAAGCACAGGTATCTTACCACATGAAGGAATGGGTCAGAGGGTATAGGCATTATTTAATTACTGGTTCAATCAGGAATTTGCATAAATAAAATGTTTATGCTTTATCAATGCAACCCTGACCTGGGGTTAATCACCAGCAGCAATACATCTTACCAATCGAAAGGTTGGCAGTTCAAAGCCCAGATGAGCACCTGACCTTCAGCCCAGCTTACCGTCCACCTAAGCAGCTCAAAAACAGCTGTGAGCTGTGTGGCACCACAAGACAAAAACCAGAAAATTCCGGTGATCAAAGGAAGAAGGAAGTTATGGGCTCTTTGTCATAGAGGATGGAGCGACAGTACCCCCACTGTGGCCGGAATCGAGCATAACCTCCAGGACAACATAATAGCTCTATCTGTTATCTGTCCTGTCTGTTTAATGCAGTGGTCCTTAACCTGTGGGCTGTGAGGACAAAAATCTGGTCCACAAGCCTCCTTCCACTATGTATTTATTTTATTTTTTATTTTATTCCACTCCTTTTGCACCACCTACCACTCCTTCCCTGTCGCTGACCAGCTTCACTCCTTTGGCTAGACCACATCCGCTCTAGATTATTAAATATGGTTTTCTGTGGGTGAGCAGATGGAGACTACTGGATGGCATATGTTCTGTATCAGAAACTAGAACTGATATGATCTATCCAACGCAATTTTTTGAATCAGCACCCCAAATAACCAAACCGAATCTAAAGTTGACCAAAAACTGTTTCGTAACCCTTTTGGTACTAATGTTGGAGAGTAGTCCTTGGTCAAAATAGTCCCTGGTCAAAAAAAGGTTGGGAACCACTGGTTTAACGGCATTAAATGTTTGCTGTGTATGCATTCTGTGATCCGCCCTGAGTCCCCTTTGGGATGAGAAGAGTGGAATATAAATACTGTAAATAAATAAATAAAAAGAATCCACGCACTGCTTGAATTATTTTCCTAGTATCCAAATTGGCTCAAGTTTGGAGGGCACACAGACTGTACAATCATCTGAAGAAACAAGTTGATGAGACTTTCAAGGGATATTACTTCCAAGACAAACTTCAACCACCACACAAGATGAACAGAATCCAAGTTATACAAGACAGCTGAGTTTGTGCGGTAACTGGACATTACTTCATGAATACTAGCAACCTTATTTCGGAACGCGTTTTGTGTTACTGCAAAATAATCATATGGGCACAAAATGTAACTTCATGTGACATAGGAAAATTATCTAGGATACTTTTAAGAGCTATTTCAGCTAGGTAACCCTATACATGTCTTTGGAGAAGTATGACTCACTGGGTTTAATGGAGCTTATACCAAAGTAAGAAAGTGTCAGATTGGAGCCTGAAGGAACTATTTTTAACACAAGCAGTCGACAGAATACAAGGATTGTTTTGGACAACTGCATTTTTGCTGGTATCCAATATATTTAAGCTTGAAATGGTAGACATTAACATAACACACATTTTTGCTATGATGTAAAAAATACATGGAGACTATGAAAACTTTCTGAAGTTTTCTGATGGGTTGATGCTCCAGGTCAGTGGTTCTCAACCTGTGGGTCCCCAGGTATTTTTACCTACAACCCCCAGAAATCCCTGCCAGTTTACCGTTAGGATTTCTAGGAGCTGAAGGCCAAAACATCTCGAGACTCACAGGTTGAGAACCATGCTCTAGGTACAAAACAGTGCTAAAGGAGAGTAGTTTAATATGCAAATATTTCCTCCCAACTGCAAATTAAAAAATAGGAACACTCAATGACAGTTCATGTGTCAGTTGATTCATTCTGGATTCCATGCATAAACATGGAATCTGGAACCCTTCACCCTATTTATATTATCAACTAATACATTTTTAAAAATAAACATATTATGAAATCTCAGAAACAAAATTAAAAAGGTTTCTTGGACTTTACCATGTGCATCCTGCTCATTTGATTTGGGGCTGCTTCTTGCTCTGCGTTCTGTTTTTTTCATAGCCGGCATTCCACCTCCTCCAATTCCGCCGCCGCCGCCTCCCCCATTTGCAGCTCCATTATAAGCCTTGATGGTACCATTGTATACTGTTGTGCAGTTTCCCAGATGGCTTTTGTAGATGGATGAAGGAGGGCTATTTAAACGGTTTTGACGATCAATCTGTCTGTCCTTAATTTTCTTGTGCTGTGGTTTGCTGTATTGATCTTCCCTGGTTATGTAACTGGACATTCCATATATGATTTCTGGAAGGAGAGGAAAGAAAGAGACACAGCTCATTTTATAGTATCAGTTTCTGTAGCATTCGTATGCTGCAGAAATGCTCACCAAGGCTACATTCAAGTATGTTTCAAGGGTCCAATATTTAGTTCTCGTGAGTTTCCATAGGATGCTCAAACCCCCAAACAAAACTAAGAGTGTCCAGAAATCCACTTCTGACAAAATGTAGGAGCCCTACATTTCTTTGAGTGGCCATTTATTTATCCAGCCTGGGAGCACCTGTAGTGGTTTGGGAAGAGTCCAGTCTCTCCCATAGGTCTGGGTTCCCCTTGATCCCTATTCTTGCAATAAACCATACTTTATCATGACACAAATAGATTGCAGCTAACGATGGACTCTTGCAATCCCTAAGCTAGCTCTGGTAAAGCTTCAATGAGTTCAGAAATTTTCACTTCTGTTTTGCATTGACATGTCATTTGAACACTAAATTGTGGATAATCATAGCAATTGTTAGTGGAAGCCAACCACCTTCAAATTGTAGTTTATGAAGTTGGCTTATTTCCATTAGGTACAGTTATTATTAACCATCCTGTGGAGTTCCGCTATTTTAAACATGGTTTACCCAAACAGAAGTGAAAGTTTCTAATCTCCTCCTTTATTTCAGAAGAGAAAAGGGTGTGAGCCCAAGACAGAAGGTGCCTCATTTTTATCCAGCTAAATCAGCCTGGTGCTGATTTAGTTATTTATTCATCTACTAGCAGTAGTTTAGATCTGACAGGGCAAGTGCAAACATTTGAATTTTAACACAGTTGCCTTGAATACCACTGCAGTGGTACCATTTCAAATAGATGCAGCAAGTCTAGTGTCTCCAGCAGGAGTGGGCAAAGTGCATCCCTCCAGATGTTGCTGGACTGCAGTTCCTAGCCTTTCTCACAGTTGACTGCATTGGCCAGGGCTCCTGGAACATCTGGAGAGTGGAACTTTGTCCAACCCTGGTCTACAGGTTCTCAGTTTTATATACAATGTAACAACAACAACCAAGAAGTTATTTGTAGAGCTGGTAAACATCTGCTGTAACCTCAACTATTTTTCATCTCAGGTTTTCCAACACAACATAAACAGGAGATCTAGACAGTCAGATGGCCACAATTAAGGTTTTGCAGCATGATGCAATTCTGATAATCTAGCCTATTTAAGAAAAAGCAGGAATTGGCAATCCCTTAATTTGAAAATGTTCTGCCAAGCAAGCGCAGCCAAGAACTGCAGGTCACCACAACAGATGTTCTGCCATTTTTCCTCTCAGAACATGCACTGACATGGAATATCCACTTCAGTATAAGGGGATGTTAATGTTGCTGAGAGGACGAGGGAGACTGCTTTAGTTATGCTGCCTTTTAAAAACATCTTTCATGACAAAAGATGAACTAAAAATAAATTTAATAAATAAGCTTTCTTCTTTTGGTATGTCCTGTTACTCATATTTGGCTGCATAAATGCACTTTATGCATCAGCCCTATCCTCACAATTGTTTTGGCGCCAGTCTGCCCATTTGTACCTAGAAACTGATGGTTATTGCAGATCTCACTGGTTGTTGGTTGATGTTTGCTTTTATATTTTGTTATAATGCTGTTGTTTTATTCTGTTTTATGATGCCATTATATATTTTAATGTGCTATATTTTAATCAGGTTGTTCGGGCTTCTCCCCGAGTCACTTTGAGGAGATGGAGGTGAAGTACAAAAATAAAGTTGTTACTACTGACATAAAAGCACAGTATGTCACAGCAAATGAGACCTATATGCTGGATTTCTTATTAAAAAAAATCACGTCGAACACTTCCCAAGCGTCTAGGACTGTGTGATGTATTTTTGAATGATGAGCGCAGTTCCAAGTAAGGTGGCCTTTTGCAGTTGACAGATCATGATTTTGTTGGTGTTTATTGTTTCCAAATGCCTGCTGAGAGCTTTTGGCACGGCACCCAGTGTGCCAATGACCACTGGGACCACCTGTACTGGTTTATGCCAGAGCCTTTGCAGTTCGATTTTGTTACTATTTAAATTATTTTTAATTTTTATATGTTGCTGTTGTTGTTATTACTATGATTATTACATCCTTTGTGCCAATGACAAAAAATCATTTTGATTCTGCTTATCTTTTCCGCACGCATGACAAAATAGTTGAATGCACAATGACCATTTGCATGAGAGCATTTTTCACATTGCTGTGTTTTGATAAGATGAGCATGTTGGGGAACAATTGACCCCCAAAATCCAATGAGCCTCACTCTGCATAGCCAATGGAGAAGGACTGTGGAAGCTGTAGTGCAAAACACGGATGCCGCACACATATCCATTGTGGATGGGAAACCTCATGTTCTGTGGTTGAATTTGGTCTTTATTTGGAGTCCAAATTCAGTCCTCTCCAAGATCCTCAGATATTCATGCCCCATGCTGGACAGTTTCCTGGCCTTGTGCAATAGCAGCATGGGGCAGTTTTTCTAGTTTTTGTACAATTTACTTACCACTTTTTAAAATGTTGAATTGCTTCTCCTAAGGCTGAGTTCTTGAACGTTAAAACATTTATGATCCTATCTTTTTACCTTTGATCCTAGCCATCACTGGAATGCAGAATACAAAAACTTCTCGGAAACGAAATTAATCCCTCACCCTGAAAGAGGTGTTCTACTTGGTGCACTGTGGGAGAAAGATGACTATATCCTATTTTTCCTCCAATAAATTCATGGAAGCTTTTGCAGTCTTCCTCCCTCAGGCATTGTAATAATCAAAAATCCCTTCACAGGATGTCCAGTTTTGGCAAATTGTAAGACACAAAGAAATATTACAGTAATAGCAATAGTAATAGGTGAGGCTAAGAAATAGTGAGTAACCCGTAGCAATTGCTGATATTGTGTGCCTTCAAGTTGACTTCAATTTATAGTGATCCTATTACTGAGTTTCTTTGGAAAGATTTATTCAGAGGAGGTTCGCCATTCTAAGATCAAGAGACTAGTCACCACGGTTCAAATCTCCATGACCAGTGTTCAAATCCTGATGACTGAGCGAGGATTTGAACCCTGGTCTCCAAGAGTCACAGTGCAAGGTTCACATCACCTTGACTCTCCCCAAAACAATTAAAAGGAAGCATTTATCTCAGTTGGTCTTTTTAAAAGAAATACTTCTGACACAGTCATGCTCTCCCTTCCAAAAAATATTTTTGATATCACTCTGTTCCAAATGCTTATAGACAAAACAAAAGTTCCATTCAAGGTTAGGAAAGATGTTTAAAGCTCCTGTTTAGATAAAACAAAGTTCTTTCACTCTTCTTTACATTTAAGTTTATTTATTGAGGGAATGAAATATTGGCCTCAAAAGATCACTGCTTTTGGTATGACCCATCCCACATTCTTTTCCTGGATCCGGGCTCAAGCAAAGACAACAAGTGCAGAAATTGTTTTCTCCATTTTTTTTAAAGAAAGGTGATTCATGTCCATTCATTAGAGACTCATATTTGTTTTTGATTCTGCCCCTTGCCTGCAGGGCAAAGATTGTCAGATCACATTTGCCTCACTAGTCTGCTCATGACTGGCCAAAGTCAAATAGACCATAAATAAAAATGCCAGAGAAGTGGATCAACAGAGGTATGCCTTGGAAGTGAACTAATCTTGAGAGCTGCATACACAGTCTTTCACTAAAGACCTATGACGAAAGTAATTACCAATTATTTGCACTTATTCGGATTTTCTTCTAAGTATGTGATTCAAATCAACTTCCAACTAGTTTAGACCATTCAATTTTATCCTCAGTGGATGGATGGGACCTTCTTAAGTGTACAAAACTTACAAGAAATGTTATCCCTGCTAAAAACAGACTATCCAACAATTATCTACTTTTAGGATTTAGCATTTTATCCAGTGAAATAGTGAAAAGATTATGTCTGTCTGTCTGTCTGTCTGTCTGTCTGTCTGTCTGTCTATCTATCTATCTATCTATCTATCTATCTATCAATGCTCTGTTCATTTTGAGTGACATCATATCTCTAAAACCGCTGGACTAACTGCCACCAAATTTGGCTGCAAGACACCTACTAACCCAAGAAGTGACCATCACTCAAAAAAATTGATGTTGTCATTTGGGAGTTGTACTTGTTGGGATTTATAGTTCATCTACAAAGAGCATTCTGAACTCCACCAATGATGGAATTGACCCAAACTTGGCACATAGGACTCCCATGACCAACAGAAATCACTAGAAGGGTTTGGTGGGCATTGACCTTGAGTTTTGGAGTTTTGGTTCACCTACATCCAAAGAGCACTGTGGACTCAAACAATGATGAATCTAGACCAAAATTGGCATGAATACTCCATATGCCCAAATATGAACACAGATGGAGTTTGGGGAAATAGACCTTGATATTTGGGAGTTGGAGTTCCTGGGGTTTATAGTTAACCTACAATCAAAGAGCTTTCTGAACCCCACCAACAACAGAATTGGGCCAATTTTCCCACACAGAACCCCCATGACCAACAAAAATACTGTGTTTTCTGGTGGTCTTTGGTGACCCTTCAGACACCCCCTTGCAACCCCCCCCCAGGGGTCCTGACCCCTAGGTTGAGAAATGCTGCCTTAAGGCCATCCAGTCCAACTTCTTTCACCAGGGCAAAAAAACATAATCAGAGCCCTCCTGACAAAGGCCCATCCAGCCATATATAAAAAATACACACACATACACACACACACACACACACACACACACATGTATATGACAGATATAGTATCATAGATTTAAAAGGGACCTCTAAAGAAGGAAAATTATATGTTGCATGTTCCAGAGTAGGCAAACCAGAAAATCTCTACATCAACATTGACAAAGAAACAACAAGAAATACTGTTTACCCACAAGCATAAAGAAATTACATATACTAGAAACCAATACTTTCTTATTGCTTTATTTTCCAGATCACCAGACTGGGCCACAGCAACATGTGGTAGGGGGTGGCTAGTTTGATATATAATGCCATGGCTCAAATATTTGCACTGCAGCTTAGATATCCATAAAAATCTTGCCCTTCTCTCAGACAGCTGATTGAGGCAAAAATATTACTCAGCCTTTTCCTACAGCATTTTTATCTGAACTAAAGAAGCACAATTATTTGAGTATATTCTAGGTTTCTATAACCTGGAGCCAGCTCTCATCATTCCCAGCCAATTGCCATGCTTTACAGCTGATGAGGAAAGCGTACAAGCCAATGCATGTGTTGCATGTACAATTCTGTCCTTCAAAATGGGGAAATGGCCAAGGAGTCCAGAAGGAACATCTAGGACACCATCTCTGCTACTTCTTTACTCTTTTTGTTAACAGGAGCAGAGAAAAGAGGCAACCCCAAAATAACTAGCTCAGCCTAATTCTAGGTTCCTCACACAACATGCAAAAATCCTTGAGCTCTAGAGTTCTGTGTAGCAGAACATTTCCAGAAGGAAGACTGAGATTGCATATTCTATTTCATTCCTCCCTCTGTTCAAGCCTCTTGCACAGTGACTACTTCTAACAATGCTGTTGTGACTTCTGTCCTAAGATGACCTGACCTTAGAGCAGCAGCATACAGGAAAATATTGTATTTTTTGTTGTTTTAGGTCCCTTTCCTGCATTCCTTCAAAATCTGGATTGAGAGCCAAGCCAACAATGGAACTATTTCAGTATTTTCCTTGCATATTTATTTTTCACTCATGGGTTTGGGAATAAAAAATAATTATAATAATTTTATTTTTTTGTTGCAAATATTGCAAATACAGGTCTCAATTATCGGATGGGTTGGGGATCAGAGTGCTACTAGAAACTGGAATAAACAACTCTCTCTCTCTCTCATATTCTCATATATAGTATATGTGTGTATGTATGCATATGTGTGTGTGTGAGTATTGAATATATAATAAAGCTAAAATAACATTTTCTTGCAAAAACTGACAATAGAGCAACCCTCTCATCAAATTAATGGGATCTATCTTTAATTTCAAAGTGTCAAAAGAGTGAGGCAGCAGAAAGTTATGCGTCAAAAGGTGTATTATATATCCCGCTCTACATCAAAAGTTCAGCACATATATACAATATTTGTGAAAGCTCCATCACTTAATCCCTGTTCCATAAGATCCTTGGCAGCTAGGGAGAGAAAACATTTGACTTCACAGACTCTATCTTGGAAGCCCATTGAACTCACCTTGCTCTCCATAGATTGTGGTGGGGAGATGATGCTGAGGGAAAAATTGGGGTGGCATATCTCCAGGCCCAGTAACAGGTGGATAGAAGGCCGTATGAGAGTTGTGAATAAAATGGGGGTGATGGGTAAGGTACGGTGGTAAGTGGTGAGTTGGAGAAATGGCAGAAGGATAGCTCGGAGGGTAACATTCTGGAGACTGTGGTGTAACCACCACCCTGCGGACGCCTGTATTGTCTTCTATTACCTGCAAAAAAACCCAAAAGATATAAATTACAAAATAAAAGAATACAAAAAGTCAGTGAGATTAATATGACTGGTGTGTTTTGCTCCTATATAAGAAAAACATATTTTAAACCCATAAAAGAAAAGGGGGAAAAACCTTTTCATCAGCAGGAACAATAACATCTATGTCTAAATATACCCAGTGCCAGCAATTTTGGTGGTAACGTAGCTCACGGCAGACATTCAGGCAGCCATACTAATTATAGCAAGGCATTCTGTAATTGCTTTAACAATGAGATTTTGAATGGAGATCAAATAAAAACTAAAATACATCCCCTACCAATAGTTCCTTTAACGGACAGATCTTGGCTTTCGCATGTACACCAATACCAATACAGTTGAATGAGCTAAAGGCAAGCAAGGCTTTATTTATCTGTGGCTTTTAACAATAAAATCCAATGATTTGAAATAAAAAATAATATTAGAGCACACTAGATTAAGGCGATGTGTATTGTGTCTTGAGTGTGTATTGGAACAATGGGATGACACAATCATACAAAATGGGTAGGAATTGTGTAGGCCTTCATATGTTGTTGGACTACAACTCCCATCAGCTTTAGTCAGAATAGCCTATGGTAAAGAATGTGGGTGTTGCAGTGCATTTGGAGTGCTAGGCAATCCCCATTAGTGATGCCAGGTCTCAGGGCTGGGCCCCAAGTCTCCAGTTTTCAATAGCTTATCTTTAGATGAGATGAAGTAGTAATGCTACCCCTCTATTCTGCTTTAGTTAGACCACAGTGGAAGATTGTGTCCATTTCTGGGCACCACAATTGAAGAGAGATATTGACAAGCTGGAATGTGTCCAGAGGAGGGTGACTAAAATGATAAAGGGTCTGGAGAACAAGCCCTATGAGGAGTGGCTTAAGGAGCTGGGCATGTTTAGCCTGAATAAGAGAAGGCTGAGAGGAGATATGGTAGCCATGTATAAATATGTGAGAGGAAGCCACAGGGAGGAGGGAGCAAGATTGTTTTCTGCTTCCTTGGAGACTAGGACGTGGAACAATGGCTTCAAATTACAAGAAAGGAGATTCCATCTGAACATGAGGAAGAACTTCCTGACTGTGAGAGCCATTCAGCAGTGGAACTCTCTGCCCCGGAGTGTGGTGGAGGCTCCTTCTTTGGAAGCTTTTAAACAGAGGTTGGATGGCCATCTGTCAGGGGTGATTTGAATGCGATATTCCTGTTTCTTGGCAGGGGGTTGGACTGGATGGCCCATGAGGTCTCTTCCAACTCTTTTATTCTATGAAGGAACCAAGTCCCCAGTTTTTGGCAGCTAAACCCCAGGCAAGAGGAAAGCATTCTGAGCAAATCTCCAGATCAGCTAGGTAAATTGTTTATTACAATTTACAAGGATTAATTGATTTCTTGCTGCTACTTGCAAAGACACTGCACAGAAGTCTATCTAATTACTTAGCCAGCTTTCTGCTTCGCTCCATGCTGCTGTGGTATTGGGCTTGCTTTCCATTCTGCTCTTTATCCACTGTCTGGCTATATTAAATGTTCTTTATGCCAGATAGGTGAGAAAGAACAACCCTCATTTCACTTTAAGAATACAGTCTTAATTTCCATACAAATACAAACATTTCCCCCATTTCTCCCCTTTTGTGCATGTGTGTTTGTAACTGTGGTTAATTCGTAATGTATAGGTCTTCATGAACTCATCTGGGGTTGTGTCTAGATTTTAGGTTGTAGCTCAGAAAGTTGAGGACATGCAGCAGTTCTAAACTGGCAACCTTAATCCTCATCCATGTAGAAGTGGAAGTAAACAGGAAATCATTTCCAATTATGTCCTGTTCTAAAAAATGTCCTTCTAAAATGGCCTGGGGGTACACAATTTTAATTGGTGTTTGTGTCTTTAACTGTTCTGTGTGTCTTTTTGTTGCTGTATTTTAATCTGTTGCTCCCTGAGTCAGAGTGAAGTGGGTAAGAAATAGATACAGGTTGACAATCTTTTATCCAAAATGCTTGAAACCAGAAGTGTTTTGGTTATGGCAGGGGGAGAGGTGAATTTTGGAATATCCATATTTTCTTAAATATACATAATGATATACCTTGAGGATACAGTCCGAAGTCCAAACACAGAATACATTTATATTTCATAAACAGCTTATACACAATAATTTTATACAATATTTTAATAATTTTGTGCATGAAACAAAGTTAGTGTAGATTGAATGATCAAAAAGCAAGAATTAGAAAGAAAATTTGGAAAAAAAAATTGTTTTACACAACAATGGCAGCTCAAATAGTATATGCCAGATATTGGAAAACCCCAGAGATACCACCTTTAGAAGAGTGGGAAAAATATATTACAGATATGCTGATAATGGACAAAATAACAGTATTATTAAGAGGAGAACTATTAGACAACTTTGTTAATGAATGGCAACCAATAATTCAACACCTTAATGTAAAGTTAAACTAAAAATGTATATAAAGGATCCTATAAGATTGTAGACAAGGAAGAAGCGGATGTAAAGTAAGAGTCTACGATATCTTTATATGTATTATTTAGATAGTAGACTGTGACCCCTTAATGGAAATATATTATCAGATAAATGATAATAGAACATTAATAAATAGAAAGTATTGCATTGTATGCAACAAACACCTGCAAATGTATGTCTACTTAAATTAAAAAAATTAAATAAATAAAAAGCAGAAGTGTCACTCTCTCAGACATAAAAGCAGACAATTCCAGATTTTGTAGTGTTTTGGATTTTCAAATAAATAATGTTCAACCTTTATTAAATACTGAGAATTGGTCAATGGCTAGACTGCTTCTGGAGTAAATATCATCCAGACAAGATTTCATACTACTTAATATATAGTCTAAAGTCCTGCAGCATCATATGTTTGGTGTACACAAAATTTGTTTCATGCACAACATTATTAAACCAAATTGGACTGGTAATGTTTTCTAAGGCTGCTGGGAGTTGCAGTCTAGCAATGTCTATAGGACCACACGATTCTCATTTATAGTCATTTTTATAAGGTAAATCTTACTTTCATTGCAACCGAGGGAATTGGTCGCTCCATTCCTAAAAGCACTCGAAGAAATGTATCCAAGACCTTGTAAAGAAATTGTATCGGCACTTACTTTAGGCTTAGATAATGTTCTATTTAGCTTTATAGGTTCTTATTGTCCAATAATTTTTGTCTATAAGCCATATGATTTCCCTTCATCATTCTCTCAAGAGAACAAAGTATGAGGTGTATTTTAAAAGGGCCAAGCTGAACAGGCTTTTAGGAAATCTATGGATAGCTTTGAAATAGAGATCCTTACTTTCCCTGATATTTTAATTACAAAGCAAATTGCCATTTTTAATTTTTATTTTATTAAGACAATGTCAGAGCCACTTGCTTTCATGAAGTAGCTGCCCTCTGTTTAAGACCCATTTTTATCCAAAGAATTAATGGCATTTCACAAATGAAAAATTTGGACAAATATAGTCAAGCAACACCCAAGTGTGATTAAGATGGCAAAAGCTTTTAATCATGAAAAAGCTGGAAGAAGGTGCAGCAGTTTGATTTTGTCTGAGCCTACTGGGAAGGAAAAGACTCCACACACTCCTCTGCTTTCCTCTCCGATGTGTTATACTTGACAACTTTCACACATTGTACTGAGTTTGCAACAACAGAAATAATCTGGACACAAAAGGGATAAATAAGAAGAGAAGAGAGAAAGTAGGACATCTTAAAAGCTGTTGAAAAGATGATAAAACAGAGGGTTAACTGGGAATGTTCCTGTCAAACTGAGACAGTTGGAGAGTGTGAGTAAAAGAAGTATTGTTCAAGTCCCGAGTTACAATAAATGGGCAGCAAAGGAAATGATCAAGTTTCATATTTCATAGTCTAAACAGCTTCTATCACAACATTAAAAAAGGAAAAGGATATTATAGTTTCAGTTTATTATTCACTGATTTTCTACATAGACGTAACTTTTTTTTCCAACCCAGCTCACAAGACACAGGTTTGGGGGCCAACCAAACCCAAGTCAAAATATGTTTTTGCTCACACAGTGGAATGCTCTTATTTCCTTTGCATCCTAGTCACCCAGGTGCCAAAACAAACAGATGGCAAATTAAATAATTACCCAATAATCCATATTAATTACCGACATCACTGAGACCAGGCAAGAGCAAACAAGGGAAACACACTATTATAACATCGGCACCAACAAACAACAACAGGAAACTAAAGCAAGTGACTACTACGTGCTTCAAGCTGTTATTTAGCATGAAGTCATTTGCAAAGCAGAACATTCATTTTCCACATGGTGAGAAGTACATTTCAACTCAAATTGGGAAAAAAATAATATATAGGTTTTCCTACCATTGCACCACCAGCTGCTTTATTTAGATCTAAGGGCTTGTTTCATAAAGCTGGTTCTTCTCAGTAATTTAGAGCAGCAAGAGCTGACTGGCAGCCTTGCAACCATATAGGAACAGTGGAAGCTGCCTTTTACCAGGTCAGATTGGTTCTCTGTCAAACTCAGAATGGATACACTGACTATGAGTACTTCTGAACAGTTTTGGGACCTGTCTACAAAGGGGTTTGACAGATTCACAGTGTGGATGCTTCTGGCTGTCTTCAAGATGTTTAGGCTTGTCCTTATTGCAGGGGAAACCAAGTTAATCCACTTTAGCTCCACGTTAAGGAAAGTTGGGAGATGCACTGGAGTTTGGCTGAAAATTTGGAGCAGCCTTGCACTTTGGGCACAGTGAAACCTAGTACCACCAGGATGGCAAGATGACAATTCAGCAAGGCCAAAGAGATCTTGACCCAGCTGGACCCCTCCCCAGCACTGCATGGGGTGGAAACAAAGTTCCTTTTCTAAGAAGACCTTGCAATAAGGGATGAATTGCATGATGAATTGCAACAAGGATCCTGAAACACCAGAGATCACTTTTGGGAAGGAGTAGCAGTCAACAGGACAAAAGATCACTCATGAAGGCTGCTAGATATGGAGGGAGTCTGGCTGGGAGATGCTTTTTAGCCATACAACTATAAGTTAGTTATTATGTAAGTAAGTAGCATATCTAGGATGTAAGTCAAAATATCTAGGCTATTCCCCTCTCTGCAGCTACAGCTTCCAGAATTGCCAAGACAGCATGACCACTGAAGTTTGAAAGATAATATTGCCAAGTTTTGGGCTTTAGCTGTTCCCAAGTACTATGACTATAACTGAATGCACAATACTTAACATTAATATAACACTCTGGAATATTCAAAGCATTTTGATAATCCCATAAAGAATGTCAGCATTATTATCATCCCCAGATGGGCAGACTAAAGCCAGCAGAGCCTGTTTTGCTGAAAGATCTCTAATAGATTTTAGACTTTAGAGGGCAGCACAATTCAAAAGAGAGGCTTCCTGATTTGAAAGCTCCTCCTTCTGGGATTTTGAAGTGCTAAAAAACTCAATTTCCATCAAAATACAGAATGTTACAAATTGTTCGAACAAAAATTGAGTGGGAAGCAAAGACAAAATGCTACATCGAGAGAGAAGAGAAGCAAAAAAAAAGATCTCTGAAGGTAGGAGAGCGGAGGTGGTCATGTCATACCTTGCTTGTGGGTTTTGCAAAGATAACTGGGTGGCTAGCATAAGAAACAAGACTATGCACCACAATCACGGTCCCATGGCCTAATCTAAGAGAAAGTTACTTGTGTAATGTTGTTTTAAATATGGCAATGATGAATATCTAATGAGTTTTATTTATTTACTTACTTCACTTATATATCGCTTTTCTCACCCCAGTGGGGGACTCAAAGCAGTTCCCAACACAATTATAGCAAAATTCAATGCCATACATACAAAAACCTAACACAATGATAACATACAATTATCACTTAAATCATAAAAAATGTCCTCATTTAACATTAAAACTTGGAATTAAAAACATATCAATATAAACAACTTAAATCACATAATCCAACGATCATAGTCCAGGCTGTTCCAAATATATTATCTATTGCACATAATCCCTGATAATTCCTTGTACTGCTCACTGCCCAAAGGTTTGGTCTCACAGTCAAGTCTTTACCCTTTTTCTGAAGGCCAGGAGGGAGGGCGCTGATCTAATTTTATTGGGGAGAAATTAGAGCCGAGGAGCCATCACTGAGAAGGCCCTGTCTCCCGTCCCCCACCAGTCGCATTTATGAAGGAGGTGGGACCGTGAACAGGGCCTCCCCCAGATGATTTTAATCTCCAAGGTAGTTCATAGAGGGAGATACATTCGGACAGGTAAGCTGGACTGGAATTGTTTACGGCTTTATAGACTAAAGCCAGGACTTTGAATTGTGCTCGGTAGCAGACGCAGCCAGTGGAGCTGGTGTTACAGGGGGGTTGTGTTCTCACTGTACCTCGCTCCAGTGAGTAATCTAGCTGCCACCCATTGGACCAACTGAAGCTTCCAAACAGTTTTCAATGGCAATCCCACATAGAGGGTGTTGCAGTAATCTATACAGAATGTAATCAGAGAATGGACTACCGTGGCCAAAACCCCCTGATAATGTGGCTATTACAAGCAAAATATCAAAGGAAAAGACATTAAAATATTTTTACTGGACAATGTTTTGAAAATATTCAGGATATTGTCTCAATATGGATTATGTCAATTTTAGTCAAAGTTGAACACTATTTCAGTATATTACATCCATGAAATAGGACAATTTTTGAAAAAGACTTCAAATAGATAGCTGAAAATGGTTTACTCAACTGATTGCCCCAAGGTGTGTAAGTATCTACAGTATTAACAGTGTTTTTGCATCTTCTGAGCTACTGTAACTCATTAAAAAGAACATTTTTGAACCTGGCTGCTAAACTATAGAGTGGTTTTCCTGACATATGGGAAAAAATAAAAAGGAGGAGTGCTAGAAGATGTACATTGGATGATAGTGAGAATGGAAAGTGTGGAGTCTCCAGTTCTCTTCCTAAGTTAAACATTCCAACACGCCATTAAGAAGCAAGACAGATGAAGTTGAACATTTTGGATGCTTTTGCTTCAGATGCTGTTTCCTAGAAATTAGTATTCTTATTATTAGATGGAGAATGGGAGGGGAAAAACAGCAAACTCAATCTCTGCTTTGGAAATGCATCTACTGTCAGGTGGGAAAAAGCCGATGTTCTTCCAGAGAGATCACACTATAAATAGTTTAAGGCACAATGTGAAGAATTTAGCTGTCAGAATAAATAGGTCCAAATATAATTACTGCAAAAGATTGTATTACAAACTAGCCACATCAGCTTGCAAAACAGTCCTAGAACCGTGCAATCTGTCTGCTTAGAAATAAGAAGAGTGTTCCAAAGATTATTTCGTTTCTAAGGCAAGAAATAAAATTGATTTTATGACTTGTAAAAAAAGACCCACTCAACTGAACTTTCTTATTTTGCATAATATTTATGTTTCTGCTAATTAGGGAGAGGTCAAATAAGCATATTGGCAAGTTGGAATGTGTCCAGAGGAGGTCTAGAAGTCAAGCCCTGTGAGACATGGGTTACAAGCTGGAAAGAGAAGGTGAGGGTGTGACATGACAGCCATGTTTAAATATTTGAGGGATTATCGCATTAAAGAAGGAGAACACTTCTACTGCTCCAGATATTACTAGAACGCAGAGCAATGGATTCACACTACAGGAAAACAGATTCCACCTGAAAATTAGGGAGACCTTCCTGGCAGTTAGACTGTTTGACAGTGGAATATGCTGCCTCAAAGTGTGGTACAGAATCCTTGTCTGAAAGTTTTCAAGCAGAAACTGGGTGGCCATCTGTCAGGGATGCTGTCAGTAATGATATGTTGGTTAATGTCATGTTGGCTTATTGTAAACTGTGTTTTTATGTGTTGTACACCGCCGCGAGCCGCCCCAGGGCTGAGAGCGGCGGTTAATAAATGCATCAAATAAATAAATAAATAAATAAATGCTTTGATTGTATATTCCTTCATACTAGAGGGTTGAAGTGAATAACCCTTGTGGTCTCTTCCAACTTTATGATTCTGGGATTCTTGATCTGGACATCACTGCATCATACTATGATTAGATAGTCCTTGTGGTCTCTCCCAACTCCATGTGATATCTCACCTCTTGATAACTATAACCCTGCTTCTGAGATTTCAACTATAGCTAAAATACACATAGACAGTAAAGCCTGTCTTCACAGCCACGAGAAGGAACAAAGCAAGATGCGAAATTAAGCCATAGAAATTAGACATTGCTGGCAGTACACAATTCTGCAGCTGATGAGGAATCATACCTGTGATATATAACCTGGAGGCACATGTATAGGAGGAATAGATCCATTGGGTGACATCATGGGAACTTCAGCAGGTCCTGTTAGGAGAGAAAGAGGAGAATTAAAAATAATAATATACACTAATATCTAAGGTACTGTGTTAAAACCCTCCTTGATATTAACAGAATCAGCTATGGCCTGTGCTATTGCACTATTTTGGAATCAAGGGAAGAGAAAAAAAAATATCAAAATCACCTCTGTATATTTGATACAGTCTGGATAGAGCATCAGCATGGTGCAGTGATCTGAGTATTGGACTACTGACCTCATCATCCATGCCTCTGGAATTGCCATGGATCATAGCAAATCTGGAGATGCCTGGCGGGGAGTGGGGAGATCCCATCACCCCACACTCCGCATTGCCTGTCTTCCTCCTACCTCACTCCACAGGGGGAAGAGTCTGGAACTTGGCTGTCCCCATTGATCCCAATGCAACACAGAAAGATTCCTGTGTTGCCGCAGCATACACTGGTTCCTCTGCAGTTTTGCGATGGAGCCCCACCAGAAGTAGTTCAATGTCACAGAATGGGAGCTGGCGAGTTCCATTGCAAAACTGCTGAGGAACCAACATATATTTCCAAAAACAGCCCCATTTGATGAGGTCATATAACTCTCAAGCCCAAGGAGTCAATCCCCACTTGAATGCCTTCAAGTAATTTCAGACTTAAGCTTTGTTCAGAGGGTGAGAGAATGAGCACTGCCCAAGGACACTCAGAGGGTTTCCACAGCTGAGCGGGAAATTTGAGCCTTGATTGCCAGAGTCCTAGTCTATCCCACACTGGTTCTCATTTGTATTTCAAATGCGAGCCTCACAACCCTATATGCTAAGTTAGATTGACTGTACCCCAGGCAATAAAATTGATGCTGAGAACTGGAATGGCTAAAATCCTCCTATACTGTTGGTTCTTCATTATTTTTTATTTCTGTGTTGCAATTGCCTATGATTATCAATATGCTCCGTTTTGCTGTGTGATCAATATCCTTCTGAATGCCACTCTAGAAACTTCCAATTTCTTTCTTTTCTGCCAAACACAAACTTGGTTATACTGATAGATTTTCTCTGGAGTCTCGTTGATATTATTTGGCCAGACTTCCTCATTATTAATGCCAACCCAGAGTAAAGCACTGTGTAATGCCCCATTTCTATCAGCTCGATTGCCACCAGCTATGCATGCCATTTCTTGTTTTATGGTTTCTAGCTTTCCTTGATTCATGTGCTTCACATTCCATGCTCCTGCTACAGGTGGCCATCCATATCTATGGATTCAGCATCCATGAATTTAACCACCCATAGTTCATTTTTTTATTTTCCAAAAGCAAATATTGACTTTGCTATTTTATACAAGGGGTGCCATGCATGAATGGACTTTGGTATCCAGCCCCATAGCCAGGATTTTGATTCGGGGGAGGGGGGGTTGTGTTTGATTCCGGGGCGGGCGGGGGGGGGGGGGGGGGGATCTACCCTAGCAAACCTTTTGTATCATTCCATGCATATGGGATATATTGAGCATGGTGATCAGATCACGATATGAATAAACATAACAGTTTAAATAATGTACCAGTAAGGCCTTCTCGCAGACCACTGTGCAGGTACAGCTGTAGCCCCTCAAGCCCCCCCCCCCGGCTACAGTCCTGTTGGTATCCATGGGGTGTCCTGGAACCAAACCCCAGTGAATAGTAAGAGTCCACTGTTCAGCTTCAGACTTTTCTTACACTCTGTGCATGTCGGCAGCTCAATGTCCTTTCAACTTGAATCTAATTGTATTGTTAGAGACAGCACTGCTTGTATTTGTCCTCTGCTCTTTCCCAGTAGCTGGACAAGTGTTTTGCAACCTTCAGGCACTATCTCATGTTTCATTTTGGATTGACTCATTTTAGAATTTCCAAGGTAAAAGCCATTATGAATAGTTTGCCACTGGCTTATTATTGCAGTACTTGGAATTCGTTACAGTCTCTGAGAGATCCTCTGCCATTGCTACCTCCTACTCTTTTGCCAATGTCAAGCTCCACTACTGCTGCTATCCAGTAGCTGCTATATAATAAACCTGGCTTACATGCTACACACAATATTGTATAATAATGCAGACCTAAGGCGGAAAAATTCAGTTTTATATAATATTCAATCTAAAATTATTCTCCTAGGGGAGTGAGATAGTTACTGTTCACTTCTGGCCATATGCTTTAAAAAAATACTTAACCCTGAAAAGTGCCAAATGTAAATCCACATTGGTATCCACTAAGCAGAGATACTTTAGTTAACTAGCAAAGAAAAATTGCCATTTGCAAGGGTAGCAGTTCTGAGCTTTCTAGCCTAGATAAACTTTTCCTTTGTGAAAGACGGGTCAAGTTTCCAATCACACTCAATTTTACATATGTGAAGAACTATCTCAGGAACATATGAAGACCACAAAACTCATTACCTCAGCAGTTTGGATTAACCAAAGAATGTGGTTATATAAGCAAGAGCCTTAAAGTTTCCACTCAAAACTCCAACCTTGGATGTGAAAGTTCCTTTCTGAAGTATCAAATGTAAATACAGTAATGCATGTGCCATAAGCATTAGGATCCCGAGCTATATAAATCTAGCTAAAATGGAAAATAGGAAACCATACAAAAAAGTTAAAGACACTATAAGCTCTATTTCTATAGCACCTCAGACAGAAATGTCATATGACATGATACGTTCCAAGACCACAAACCAGACTGAAGTTTGAGATATGCAACTATCATCTATATCATTTTTTTACTCAGATCATTCACTCAGTTTATCACCTTTTTAACAAAAAATAAAGGATCCAATAGGGCATTTCAGTTTGGTTGGGTCATTTCTGTGAAATATTATTAATTGGACAGTAATCACAAATATTATTTATTTATTTATTTATTTATTATTTCCTGTGCTTATATACCGCTGTTCTCAGCCCGGGGGCGACTCACAGCGGTGTACAACATAGAGAGGACAGGGTGCAAATTACAAGATACAATCTAAAATCAATCTAGCAATAACAAAAACATCGTCATCAACAACATCAACAATATCAATATCAATAATACAAAAAGCCATTCGCGTCGTCTCATCGTTAAACCATAATCCAGTATCATTTTCCGTTGTTCCATTCCTGTCGTCACTACCAATTATTGCACTTCTTGTTCGAACGCCTTCTTGAACAGTCACGTCTTTAATTTCCTGCGGAATATCATCAGGGAAGGAGCCAGTCTGATGTCCACGGGAAGGGTGTTCCACAGCCGAGGAGCCACCACCGAGAAGGCCCTGTCTCTCGTCCCCGCCAGAGCAGGGCCTCCCCGGACAATCTTAAAGTCCTCGTGGGCTCATAGGCTGAGATGCGGTCAGATAGGTATCTTGGGCCGGAGCCGTTTAGGGCTTTATAGGCCAATGTCAGCACCTTGAATTGAGCCCGGTAGCAAAACGGCAGCCAATATTATTCATAAAAACCCTATGGTTCAAATCAGATGTGACAATCATTTGTCCCTGCAGTTGTTATTGAACTGGAACTCCCAGCATTTGTCAACACTATGTTATTTAAGGCTGCTGGGAGTTGTAGTCTAACATCTAGAGGACCACATATTTCCCAGCCATGGTTTAATGAACACACACACACATATGACAGAAAATCTAAGAAATAGGGGTTAAAACAGGAGAAATTTCCAAGGTGGATTAAACTGGCACCCTCATCCCAGAAAGAAGGGAAAATCTTTTTCTTTAAATAGGCCATTGCTATAGTAGTATGTGTCCCAATGACTACATTTGTACGTTTGCACAAGCCCTTGTCTTGCCCAACTATTATTTAATGCATAACAAGATTAGTACACAGCAAACAAGATCACTATGCTGGATTTTACATTGGATCACATGTCGGATACTTCCCAAGTGTCTAGAACTGTGTGATGTATCAGCGAATAATGTGTGCAGATTCGAGTAGTGTGGCCTTTTGCACCTGAGAGATGGTAATTTTGTCAGCGCCAATTGTTTTTAAGTACAGGCCAAGGCCTTTAGGCACTGTACCCAGTGTGCTGATCACCACTGGGACCACCTTTACTGGCTTGTGCCAGAGTCATTGCAATTCTATCTTTAAATCCTATCATCATCATCCTCCTCCTCATCATCATCATCATTCTCTGTGTGTGTCTCTGCTTCAGGTCATCAGTCTACTTATGGCAACTTCGTGCATTTAACAAGGTTTTCTTAGGAAACAAATATAATTATTATGTTTATGTTTATTTATGCCCTGCTTTTCTCTCCACAAGGAGACTCAAAGCAGCTCTTTGTGGAGAGGAGGTAAGGTAACATTCAGAGATAACCTGAATGTCACTTAATGCAGAAAACATTACAAAAAAGTCTAAAAGTCTAATGCAGGTCTAAGAAATGGGGGTTAAAGAAATGGGGGTGACTTCACAACCTCTGAGGATGCCTGCCATAGATTCAGGCAAAACATCAGGAGAGAATGCTTCTAGAACATGGCCATATAGCCTGAAAAATCTACAACAACCTAGTGATTCCAGGTATGGAAGCCTTCAACAATACATAAGCCATCTTTTCAACAATACATTTAATGCCTGTATCCATTAAGAACTGCAAGGTGCTCTGGATACCATTGATGCCAACAGTTCTAAAAAAAAAATTCACAGAGACACACAACAAACATTTCGAAACACTTTCCCACATTTAGCTTTAACACCTAAGAAGGTGTTAACTGCTTTGACACTTACAATGCCCTTGTTTAGAGCCTCTTCAAAAACATCTGTCGCTTGGTCATATAAAGTGACCAGCCGCCTTTCAGGATGTAACTATACTCGCACATAACAGTCTGCGCTGTCTGTAAATGCCTCCGATGCAATAAAAAGGCTGCATTTTACTGTCAAATGTGCAGTTGTGCAAGCAGACTCTTAACCCCAGGTGTGACCCTCAGACTGTTAAAGTCATTTGAGTAAACGGTTTCAAGGAATCTTGGACAGGTGAATGATTTACGGCTATATGATGTTTTCTTCGCTGCCTCAAGTTCAGGGCTGGGCAAATGAC